AAAAAGAAGAAGAAATAAAATCTGCTTTCATTTGAAACATTACCTATTTAGATCTATAGGTTACTACCGACACCATCTTATCCTGACCAACTGACTAAAAGGGATGTATGAATAAAAATGTCAAGTCTAGAGAGACTCACAGCAGAGGATAAATGGTGCTTCTTTTCATTGAAATAGAAATCATGTGAGAAACATTTTGAAAGAAAGGTGACCTAATCTATTGTGGACATACTGGGTTTGAGATGCCTATAGGAAATTCCTCCTTCCCTCATCAACAAAGGTAGAGTGTATTTCCCTGACCCTTATTACAACTTGCCCATATAAATTGAATTGATCAGTGAGATGGTAGCAGATTGATGCACACAGAGGCTTGAAATGTACCTGCTGTTGGGGTATGTCCTCTCGCATTTATGTAATTACAATGGAAAGAACATTTTTCTGTAGTCAAATGGTCTCAAGGGAATGACCTATATGATGCACACTGATTCCAACTGAAGCCAACCTCAACCTTGTTCAGACTAAACCAACCTACTCCAACTAACTTCCACATGTGTGGACTCATTGTTTTATATCATTAAGATTCGATAGTTATTTGTTACACAGCCTTATTGTGTCAATAGCTGACTGATTCAGTCAGCATATGGGTGGTTTTGAAGCAAAAGAAAATGAATGTGATTATCCAAATGTACCGATCCAAAGTGAACTCATCCCTCTTCTTTCCTCAAACATGCCCGTCCTTTCTTTCTGATCTTGATAAATGGTCCTACCATACATCTACTTGACAGAACCAGAGTCCTAAGATTCATGCAAGTGTTCTTCCTTTGTTGGACCTTCCACATCTTTGGATGACCAAGATTCCACCCCTTTACCATTCTTTTTATCTATCTCCCCACCCTTATTCTTTCATCATTGCTACCACAATTTGCTTTTAATCCATGGATACCTTGCCTTCATTTTTCCCATTGTACTCAGTCTCTACTGACATATTCATACACATCCAACCACCCATCCTTTCCACAGCGGTCACTATTATCTTTCTAAGAATACATCTGATAATTTATCAATGACCCCTCTTTATCTACAGAGTACTGTTCAAACTCCTTAGCCTGAAATTTAACCCCTTTCATCCAGCCCCTGCTCCTGTGCTCAGTCTTCTTACAAAACACCCCTTCCCACCCTAAGTTTATTCCTACCCAACTATTTGCTATTCTCCAAGTTTTACCAGGGTCTCTCAGAACCCCACACCTGTGCCATCTTTCCAGAAGTCTTCTTTCCTATTTTTATTTTAACTAACATCCTACATTTTTCAAGACTTAAATCAGTCATCACCACCTCTAGCGAGTTTATTTTTACCTATTCCCCAAGTAAAATGTATCTCCTTTCTTTTATCCCTTCACTGCACCCTGACAGGTTTCTATCCTGGCACCCATATTACTTCATCGCTCTCATTTGTTTTCATGTTGGCTATGCCCATTCCCTCTTACCCTTTGTATTTCCACAGTCTGGAACAATAATGGGCTCCTTATAAAAGATAGTTGGGTGAATAAATGAATGAGTGAACAATTAATGGATGAATTGGACTTCAGATTTCTTTCTGTAATATGCTCTACTTACCTAACTAAGTTCTCTTTGTACATAACACTGGTCTGGGATGGGTTCAGAGTTATGTTGCCATCTTTGTCGCACAGGAAGCTGTCTTCGTTCCAAATATAGTAGCCATTGGTGAGGAGTCTGGGACTTCGGCGACAGATATAGTGGGAGCCTGTCAGGGGATCTACGGAGCTGCATTCAAAAGAATGGTCACCATTCAGGGAATCACAGGTAAAACTAAGAAGGAAAAGGGAAAGCCCTTTAAATATCTATTCAGTACATCCAGTCCCACATTAACCACGTCTCATCACTGTGAAGGAAAATAACATCTTTGCATTCATGACTGTCAATTACTTCTGCAACCATTAGGAATGTCACTCTTAACCTTCTGGGCTTCATCTCCTCACCTATGACAGCATTAAACTACAGAACCTTTAGTGCTTCTTTCTGTTTTAAACCTTGGTGAAAATGATGGCTAATCACTTTCCTCACCATACGATGAACCTACGTTTGATGTTAGTCTATTATATTTTTTTGGATGGGATGTCGGAAGCTCAAAATCCCCTCTACTCCCTTATTTTGAATAGCCCTCCAGTTGCCAGATCTTTAATCTTGTCACTGTAATAGAGACGTTATAACTATGTAGCCACCGGAAACATATGAGGTACAGGGTGAACATGCAGTCAAAAAGATCATTTTTGGCCTGTGCAAATTTCCCTCCAGGTTGGCTGCACAAAATGGGCACACGGTTACCTTCCCTGATTTGGTATCCAGGGAAGCCTCATAATTCCTTGAGTAAACCTATATGTGTCTTAGTTTTAAAAAACAATCACGTTGAGATGGGATTGGTGGTGTGTGCCTATAGTCCCAGCTACTCAGAAGGCTAAGGCAGGAGGATCCCTTTAGCCCAGGAAGTTTGAAGGCTGCAGTGTGCTATTCATGCCTGAGAATAGCCACTGCACTCCAGCCTGAGCACCATACCAAAGACCCTGTATCTAAAGGAAGGAGGAAAAGAGAGAGAAAGAAAGAGGGAGAGAAAGAAGGCAAGAAAGGAAGAAACAAATAAGCGAAGGAAGGAAGGAAGGAAGGAAGGAAGGAAGGAAGGAAGGAAGGAATCACATGGCCCTATAATTGACAGGCAACTAAATTATTATGAAAATGTTTCATAAATGTAAAATTTCTTGAGGTGAGGTTTGGTGGAAGCCTGGTGACAATAGTAATAGAGCCACATTGGATAAAAGAGTATGTAATGTGTTATTTCTTCAAAACTGCTTAGTTTTTTCCCCCTCTCTTGTCCCATAAAAATTATTTTTCTTTGTCCTAAACCCCAATTAATCTCACTGTGATTTTTGTGTACGTATGTCCGCCTCAGTAATTATTTTAGACATTACTGGAGGGCAGATATTGTGAGCCTAAAAAATGTTCAGTATGTAAATAAACTCAATGCCAGTTACTGAATGAAATCACCTGACAGGCTATGGAAATCTGGTAAAACCTATGAAAATATATACTGTCTGAATGTATCTGAGTTCTTGGGGTGGTTTTGTGTCAATCAATTAACAGCACTGATAGTACAATAGCTCTCATGTGCTCTTACCTTGATGCTTTCAATAATTTTTACATATTATGTATTCCACTTAATTGCATAAATTGGGACCATATGCTTCCAGAAAATCACAGATTCTAAGAATCAGAAGGAGTTGTGACGGTCATGTCTGCAGCCCCACCAAATTTCCCATCTGCTGTATTTCTGACAAACATTGTCCCTCTCTGCATGCACACCTTCAGTAAGAAGGACCCCACACTTACTAAGCACCCCCACAACCCTTCACTGAACAAATATGGGCTGTAGCATAGTGGACAAGACAGGGGATTTGAAGTCAATCCCCTTCTAAGCCCATAATTCCAACTCTGTCATTGCTTAGGTGAGTAAACTTAATCCAGTCACTTAGCCTCTTAGACTGTTTCCTTATATGTAAAACAAGAAAAAAATCTTTATTATCGGGTTATCTTAATAATCACATAATAAAATAAATGGTCTGTGCTTAGCACCTAGTATGGGCTTAATAAGTGTTCACTTCCTCCCTTCTTTTCTTTCCCTTCGTTTTCCGTTCCTTCTATCTTCCATCTGAGATCTGTTCAGCTATTTAAAGAGAGTTTCCATGTCCTCCCTGGGTCCTCGCTTCTCCACATTAAAAGTCCTCCAGTTCATTTAACTCATCTTTATACGACATGATGTAGTTTTGACCCCTTAGCTATCATAGTTTGATGGCTTTTCTCTGAGTATTCTCCACTTTTTAGAGTTCCTCTTAAATATCATGTCAACCGTAGAACCTAGTCCCTTAAGTGTGTCTGCCCAAGAGATATAGGGACTATCACTTCCCTCATTATAGAATCCATGTCTTTAGCAATGAAGCTTAAGTCACATCAGCTTGACTCTTTTTTTTCTCCTCCAGTTACCAACATATTATCACACTATTAAATAGACTATCAAGTCTACGGCCATACCACCCTGAACGCGCATGATCTCATCTAAATAAACTATCAATTTCTAGTCTTTTTCCTGTATATTTAGAATTACCTTTCCTCTCTTAGACTTTTGGATCAATTTTATATTACAAAGTCAATATGTAATTAAGACTTTGCAGATAGAGCTAGGTTCATACCCTTGGTTTCAATCCTGGCTCTACCTCCTGCTAATTATTCTCTCCAAGGCTTAGTATTTTTTTTTTTTTTTTTTAAACAAATGTGAATCTGTGCAGTAAAGATTGCCCAAAATAAACCCCATAGATTTCTGTAAATATTTAATGTCATAATTTAATGGAGGTTGTTAATGTCTATGCTTTCCATTGCCTAATGGTGGTAAGCTAAGTATGTTGCCTACTGTTTGAATGACTATTCATTTTGTGCTGTTAGAATTTTGAGGGATTCGGCCGGGCGCGGTGGCTCAAGCCTGTAATCCCAGCACTTTGGGAGGCCGAGACGGGCGGATCACGAGGTCAGGAGATTGAGACCATCCTGGCTAACACGGTCAAACCCAGTCTCTACTAAAAAATACAAGAAAAAACTAGCCGGGCGAGGTGGCGGACGCCTGTAGTCCCAGCTACTCGGGAGGCTGAGGCAGGAGAATGGCGTAAACCCGGGAGGCGGAGCTTGCAGTGAGCTGAGATCCGGCCACTGCACTCCAGCCTGGGCCACAGAGTGAGACTCCATCTCAAAAAAAAAAAAAAAAAAAAGAATTTTGAGGGATTCTCATTATATTACACAAGACTTTTACTATATTAAATGATGTCATACAAATATGTTATCCCTGGAATCTATATGTTCTCAATCCAAATCATTGATAAAAATATTGAATAGTATGGGTAGAAATCTGAGACTTTGGAAACATCAAAAGGGACTATTTCCAGACATGCACTTTAACAGAACATTTTGGTTCTTGTTATCCCTATTAATAAATATGAAAATGGAGGCTCCAGTAGGTTAAGTTCATTGTTCAATAACTCAGGGCTTACAAGTGGGAGAGGCAAGTTAAAAATCTAGATCTTTTTTCTCCGACTCTAGTGCTCTTTCTTCTACAGCCTTTTGCCTCTGTGAAAATTAATGGGGCAACTATATGGTGCTGGACACTTAGGAGGTTTCAGAGTTCTGGACCTGTATTTCTATCTGCACTCCAATTTCCAAGGTTTCAACATTTGACAGTTATCAACTGCAGCCTCCCTAATCCCCTGGCATCTTTCCTTTATAATGCCCCACCTTTATCTATCCTCTCTTGATTGTAAACAAAATGAAGACACTCTTCCAACACTTGGATTATAGTTTTAAAAAAGGACCCTTCTGAACAATATCAAACCTTTAGAGCAGATAACAACATTATCTCTAGATCTTGACTCTTGCTTCATTCCCACAGCAAAGCCCAGCAACGTGCCTAACTGCCTAAAGACAAAGCCTTTTCTTTTCTTGTGAGGTTACTGACTAGGCCTTAGAAGAGCCTAAATCGTACCTCCTAGGATAGGACAAAGACTGATTGGTGAAAGGACAAGTATCATTAGGACCATTAAAAAATGTTGGACAATTACACACTGATAGATTACAAAATGTCTCTCATCCTTCTACACATCTGCCTCATGCTCTACTGAATTTCTGATATTTTTACATTTAAAAGCTTATATACAATGAAAACATGCACTCAGTCTAGTAATAAAATACTGTTTCAAATGAATGTGAGTTATTGAACATTGAGCATGACCTGGCCCCCTACTTTTTGCCCTTTATCTACTCTTCACAAACCTCTAAAAGCTAAGTATCATTATTATCTTCATCATATAGCAGGAAAAAATGCAAAAGCAGCAAATTACTTGGATATTTTACATAGCTAGTAAGTGGCAGAGCTATGATATGAACCCTATTCTATCTGACTCTAAACCATGGATCCTTTCCACATGTGCCTCTGTTCATATTGATTCATTTGGTAGCATCAGGAGGCCTACAATTTACAAGAAGGAGCCGGTCCTAAAATGAATGTACGATCTCTTGATGCTGTAGGCACATTTCACCATGCTAGGGGAAACGTCAGCTGATGTCTGCATAAGGAATAAGAGACACTCAGTGAGTCATTGAAAAAAGAAAGAAAAAAGACTCCCTTGTAGCACTTCAACAAAATGGTAGACTGTACATGTTTTGGTAGAGCATAAAATTCGGCCATTGGTATAGAATTGTGTTGCTTTTATAAAACAAGATAGGAAAGCATATTTAAAAAGATATCAGTTTGAGAAAAAGTAATCATTCATCAGTATTCAATAGTTTCACCACTCACCAGAGAAACAATTCACAACTGCCTATATATTGACACTAATATATATGATATGTGATTATAATATATATATTCATTATTCTATTAGGCAAGATTTCATTTAGTATGTACATGGCACTGAAAATAAATAGCCTTTCAAAACTAGATGATAGCTAAAATAATAATTTCAAACCAATAATACAACAAAGTAAGACATAGAAATCTGAAACTTTGGAAACATCAAAAGGGACTATTTCCAAATAATTATTATTATTATTTTGAGATGGAGTCTCGCTCTGTCGCCCAGGCTGGAATGCAGTGGTGCAGTCTTGGCTCACTGCAACCTCTGCCTCCCAGGTTCAAGCGATTCTCCCACCCCAGCCTCCGGAGTAGCTGGGATTACAGGCACACCACCACCACACCCGGCTAATTTTTGTATTTTTAGTGGAGACAAGGTTTCACCATGTTTTATCCAGGCTGATCTCAAACTCCTGACCTCAAGTGATCCACCCACCTCGGCCTCCCAAAGTACTGGGATTACAGGCGTGAGCCACCATGCCCAGAGAAGAATGATTTTTTTTTTTTTTTTTAGACAAGTCTTGCTCTGTCGCCCAGGCTGGAGTGCAGTGGCACAATCTCGGCTCACTGCAAGCTCTGTCTCCTGGGTTCACGTCATTCTCCCACCTCAGCCTTCCGAGTAGCTGGGACTACAGGCGCCCGCCACCATGCTGTGCTGATTTTTATTTAATTTAATTTAATTTTATTTTATTTGTATTTTTAGTAGGGACGGGGTTTTACTGTGTTAGCCAGGATGGTCTCGATCTCCTGACCTCGTGATCTTTCCGCCTAGGCCTCCCAAAGTGCTGGAATTACAGGTGTGAGCCAGCACGCCTGGCCAGAATTATTATTTCTTAAAAGAAGCTCCGTAACATACCTTGGGAAAATACACGTGGGAGACAGTTCTCCAGCATATTCTCTTTCCAACCTGGAAGAACCTGCGTAAACAAATGAGAGAGAAGTAGAATGTATCATACCTGATCAACAGTTACATATGTTGATACATGTATCAATATGTGTAATTGCAAACAGTGGAGGCATGTAAGAAGATGGGAATAGCTGACGTTCCAGCTTCAGCTGGAAGATTCCAACTAGTACAGACACCCTTATCACTAGGGCTCTACTGGAAGCAAGACATAAATTAGAGGCTTCTATCTTCTGTTCCTGCTCCCACATAACTCTCCAGAAGTTCCAGGTGCAGTGGCTCACGCCTGTAATCCCAGCACTTTGGGAGGCCGAGGAGGTCAGATCACGAGATCAGGAGATCTAGACCATTCTGGCTAACACGGTGAAACCCCGTCTCTACAAAAACACACAAAAAATTAGCCGGGCGTGTTGGCAGGCGCCTGTAGTCCCAGCTACTCGGGAGGCTGAGGCAGGAGAATGACGTAAACCCGGGAGGCGGAGCTTGCAGTGAGCTGAGATCCGGCCACTGCACTCCAGCCTGGGCGACAGAGCGACACTCCGTCTCAAAAAAAAAAAAAAAACAAAAAAAACCAAAAAACGTTCCTTAGTGCAGAATAAGGCAATAATAAATCATTAGCATCAAACTGAGCTCATGAAAGGATGGGAAAAAAACGTCTTGTGTGAACGGGAGAAAACCCAAATCAGTTACCCAATGTGTTGGTTATTGTAGCTACTCAGTAAACTGAGGAATTCAATCATTGTTGTAGACTCTCTCTCTTTAGTGCATATTAAGACACTTCTACTGTAAAATAATGAGCAAAAGACATTAGTGGGGAAGAAATAAGGTTTTGTTTTGTTTTATATAAAATTTTCCAATGTATAAAGACTGTGAGTATTCTTAATTATAGAAACATCATCCATTCGTTCATTCCAGTTTAACCAAAGGCATGGCAACAGACTTTACTTGGGGAAAGTTGGAGTTGATTAATATTCTAAACTCTAAAGCAGAATTTTATCGTGTGCAGAGATGGTGTCAATGGTCCTAACAGACAAGCTTAGTGAAATTTGATTCCATTACGGACAATTAGTATCTAGGACAAAGAAAGGAATTTAGACTTTCAGATTGGGCTGGTTGATTTGTAAGGAGAAAACTGTGGGTGTGTGAGGGAGAGTTAGAAGTGGGGTTTTGGGAGAAAATAACAAGAGGAAGGAAGAAATTTGAAACCACTACCGTTTTAACAGCGCCCTTATTTTCTGCAAGTAGCTATCAAAATCATTCAGCATTTTTTATACACAAACAGTTTTGCATCTTAATAGTAGCTGATAAACAATCTCCTTTCACATTTATGCACAGGCATCTAAAAAAAAACGGTGTTTTTTTTTTTTTTTTTCTACTAGAAGGAAAAATACCACATTTCTTTCAAGGAAAAAATGAAGTCAAAATCATTGCCAAAGTGAACACTGGCATTTAAGAAGCACAAGCTACTGACAGATGGTTAATGGTCTGAGTATCAGCAAAATCAAAGCAAGGAAATTGCTAAAAGGAGTCTAATCGTTCAAAAGATAATTGCGTATCACAGTTCTTCTACATTTACTTGCTACTGGTGTTGACATCAGTTGAGATATTCGGTACATCTTGGGAAGGCCGCTTGCTCAAACTTCACAGATTCTCTGCAAAAGACGTTAAAAAAAGGTGGACTATATATTAAAAATAGAAAAATTATGCCAAAACAGATGGCATCTACTAATTGCACTAGTCAGATTTGTTTACTGAAATAATACAGAGATACAGAATTGAAGGTAGGAGACCAGATTGAAGACACAACTTCTCTAAAGTTATGTCTGCCTCTATGACTTTGAACATTTTCCATTGCCTCGCTCAGTGCATCTCAATAACCTTTTTCTGTAAATAAGAACCATACTTTATTTGGAAAATCTAGACTTAAAAAGGTTGATTTGTAATCCAAAGACAATAATGAAGGTGAGGTATTTGATTAAGAAATGTTAATAAAATGACTGGTCTAACAGTAATTTAGCCCCCAAAACAAACTTACTTGTATTTTAATCATCTGACACAAATCATCTTCATTATCAAGTTTCAAAAGGTGCTTGGAGATTGGTGTCTGTCTTTTGCCCAACAACTTGAACCATTGACAGGTAGTCACAGAGAGTGTTTTTTAATGGCTTTTATCAGCCTGGACATTCCTAAAGAGCATAAGTAACATTGCACTAAAGATAGCATACCACTGGGAAGATTTTAGAACTCAGTTCCCACGAAGACATAATTTAATTTCTCAATTACAAATTAAAAACATATCAAAGAATGCAAATTATGCAAACTTTGATCATTTACTGTTCATGAAATAGAACCAACTTCTGTTGACTATGAAACTTTGTATATAGTATCACTATCCTAATCACTTTATAAGGTAGAACTAAATTCTTTTCTGATTCACCACCTATGGCCACATTTTGTAACGTGAGAACTAGTAATGGATTGTTTTTGTAGCTGTAATACAATCAATCAAACCAGGCTAATTCTATACCTTCAAGTTGACTATTTCAATAAATATATACAAACCCTATAGGAAACTATAAACCTGGTTTATAGAGACCTTCAAAGACGTCAGGAGAACTTTCTGGCCTTCCTTGGAAGATCTCTAAATCAAAGCACACATTTACAAATTTCATTTGTTTGGGATATCAAATAATCCCAATGTAATGTAACATATTAGTATGTCACTTGTTCTTTTCATTTTTGATCAATATTGTATGGATATGCCCAGCCCAAATTACCTTATTTTAGTGTTCCCCAAGTATTAAGCTTAATTTTAAGCCTGTCAATCCTGCAGCAGAAAGTAAGGTCTTATTGCTCTATCTTACAAGTGCTTAGAGGAATCTACAGGCAGTACACTGACATTCAATAGAAAATTAGCAACAGTAGAAAAAAAACCCTTCAGTTATAGATCTAAAACTTTTCAAGAAACAGAATCTGCCAGTTCCATCAAAGCAACACATCTATTCTGAAAAATGTGTGCATACATGTTCCTTCCAAAGGGAGTTCCCAGCCTCTTCTTCCAATTGACAAAGGACAAAATTATTACTGAAATATGAAGCTTCCTGTGGTTGACAGTGGAAAATTTGAGGACTGAGCAGTTCCTCAGCTGAAAAAAAATGTCTGAATGTCAACAGGTGCAAAAGTCTCTTAATAAAGGGAATCCCACCCTACCTTCTTCTCACGGATGCCCACACACATTGCCGTGCACAGGTGTTTGCAGAGAAGTTTTTGTCTTCAGCAGCCTCTTCTTCTCTTGTCTGTTTTCTGGTATAAATGAGCGTATAGTTCTTGGGACAGTCAGTCTTACAACTTCTCTTGTTTTCTTTTGAAAACAGCCTGCGTAACCAGAGACAAAGAAGCAGAATGAGGTCATACTTCCTGTTGGGCTCACATCAGTGGCATTCACACTGAGGAGTGTGGTGAAGATTTCACAGAGTTTCCTGGGCCAGCAGCAGGGAATGTGCAGCCCGTGTGACAGGCCAGCTGGTTACAACCTGGTCACTGGAGGGGTGGTTTGCTGAGCTAACTTGTCACCTTTGGCTGCAAGAACATGAGAAAGACTTTCAGTCTCACTTCTTGCTCATCATCTGGCCACATTCAGTTACAAGTAGTGCAGAGTAGTGATCTTTGTCCAAATCACTTAAATGTATTGAGGATAACGCACTGATGCTATTAAATTCAGAATACTACTAAATAGCAAGAGCTTGATCTTATGAAAATTTCTATAGAGGCAGTAAATTTATCTAATGAAGATTGGACTTTACAAAAAAACTGTATAGATGGCATTTTACATTTACATAATAGTAGAGCTCAAAGACTTGATGGTGTTTGTGGGTTCGTACACGTCTGTACTATTACAAGTGATAAAAGAAATGTACATTCAAATATATATTCCAGCAACATTGAGGTACTACTGTATAGTGGAAAGAGTGTGGGTTTGGGGGTCATATAGACAGAGATTCAACCTGTCTACCACCTTAGCTGTGTGACCTCAGATTTGTGACTTACCCCTCTGAGTTGCAGTTTTCTCAATTATAAGCATAAAAATATACATGTCACATGATAGCTTGAAGAATTCAATGAAATAAAAGAAATGAGGAATAATTGAGTCCTCAGCAGAGATATGCAAGGTGTATTCCTTATTCGTTTTCTGCAAATCAAGTTCTCTTCTGAGGCACCAGCTGGTCAGGTTGGCAAAAAAGTTAATCTCATCCTTTCTTGTGGTTCCCTTTCCCCGAGGTTCTGCCACATGGCAGGATCTTCTGTAGAACATGTTTTAGGCAGAAGAAGTTGTCAGGAGGAGGGTCCATCTAATTTCAAAGTTCTCTGTCTCTGGAACTTCATGTCTAATCTCCATCCCTCAAGTGTGGACTAAGGCTGCTGATGTACTCCTTGTAAATAGAGTAAGGAAAAGGTGCTGGGTTTCCACTACCATGATGAGGCTTCTGTCTTGCTGGACTCTATTACTTTCTTGGCTTGCCTGCTTTGATGAAGCAAGATGCCATGGTGGAGAAGCCCATGTGGCAAGGAATCAAGAGTTGTCTCAAAAGCCAGTAAGGGTCTGATGCTCCATCCAACAGCCAGGAATCCAGCCAAGAACCAAGTGTGTGAGCTTGGAAGTGGAACCTTCTCCAGGTGAGCCTTGAGCTGAGTGCAGCACCATCTAATGCTTGATTGGAACCAAGAAAGACCCAGAAGCAGACAACCCAGGCTAGCCCTGTCCAGCTCCGTGGCCCACACAAACTGGGAGGTGACAAATGGTGTTTCAAGCCACCACGTTTTGAGGTAATTTGTTACACAGCAATGGCTAGCAGATGCATAGTCCTAACACAGGTCCCTTCCTGAGCCATCTGTCATTGCTGACTCTCTGCTGCTTTAGTGACTCCTGTAGAATATAGTCACATTTACTGAAGGCTACTTCTGGTCACATCTGCCTAGATTTACCAGACAGCTACTGTGCTCCACAGCTGTCTGGTGTTCCCTTCATTGGAAATCACAGTTCTCTTCTTCTTCTCCTTTTCCTGTTTTGCTTATCTCTCATCCTCCCGCTTCCAGCCTTGGCTTATCTCTTCCAGATGAGGGAGGAAAATCTTTCTGACTTATTCGAGACCCTCCGCTCTTCCTGTGCCCACAAACTCATTTCTCCAAAGAGTTCACATCAGAAAGACTTTGGTCTACTTTTTTTTCAACGATCTGGTAAATATTAGAACCTTATTATTAATGATCATAATAATTGCTAACTTTAAGGAGTGCTTACTATGTACCAGGCACTGCTCTAAGGCCTTTCCACATATCAATACATTAACTGTTATATCAATTCCATGGGAGATGGTCTATTATTATTCTCATTTTACAGAAGAGCAAACTGAGTTTAGAGAATTGCCCAAATTCACATAGCCAGTACGTGATAAGTAAGTAGAGCTAGGATTCAAACCCTGGTGAGATGGCTCCTGAGTTTGCATTCTTAACCTATAAGTGATAATGATCATAGCCAACATGTGTCAGCATTTCTTACAAACCAGACACTGCACTAAACACTGTACATATGTAATCTTGTTTCAACCTCACACAGCCCTAGAAAATAAGTGCAATTATTATCCATATGCAGGACAGAGGTTCATAGAGTTTGCATAAATCTTTCAAAATTGCCAAGGCCCAGAACTACATTCCAACCCTATGGCTCCCCTCTCAATCATCTCTCTTGAGGCCCACTCATCTTCTTGTTGTTTCTCAAACACTAGACATGGGTCTACGTTAAGATCTTTGAGGTTAGCGTTCCCTCACCCTAAGGGTCATAGGGCTTTCTTCCTCCCCTCCCTCAGCTCTTTGCTCCACTGCCTTGCTTCTAATTAAGTTGCCCTCCTAGTCTCTTCCTGCTTTATTCTTCTCCTTAGCACTTTTTACCAAGGAATATGTCACTCAATTCATTCCTTGTAATAAGAAACATACTCCTCAGCCAGAACATAAGCCTTAAAGGAGCAAAGAATATTGCCATTTTTCTTCATTTTAATAGTCCAAGTATCAAGAATAGTGCTTCCCATATAGTAGGTTATCAATTAATGTTTGTAGAAGTAACAAATAAATTAATTACATCGAGGTAGACTTGCCTTCAGAACTTTTATTCTGTATGTTACAAATCAGTGTTTCTAAAAGCATGTTCCACAGAATATTCAATCCTCCACTATTAATGGAGGTGATGCGTGTGGATGGGGAAAAGATTAGTGGTAAATTTAGGTACAACAAGTCCTAGAAAACATAGGTCTCTGTAATGGAGGTCACTATAGAACCATTTAAATGATATTCGGACTTGCTACTATACACAGGAAACATGATCTCACCATCTGTCAAAATTATTTGCCTTGAGAATCTTTTAGTCACATAACACACGTCTCCCAAGACCCGGGTTTCAGAGCTGTGTACTGCAAACTTTCATGTGCTACAAATCACAGAGGATCTTACAGAAGTAAGGGAATTGGAGACAGTGTTTCATATCAGCTCCCAGGTAAAGTCAAAACTGTTAGTCCATAAGATACTCTTTGACAGGCAGGATGCTAAAGAACTCATGTTAGGAAATGCTGACATCAGTTGACGAACTTGACAAATTTGATTTTAACATACTACAAGCAATGAACCAACATGCCTGCATGCTTGCTTAAATCCCTCATGTACTCATGATGTCTCTTCTTACCCAAGCCTCATCCTGCTCTGGAACTCTGTGTCCTATTAGATGACAACATCTTCCACCCAATCACTCATGCCAGAAAACTGGGAGAAATCGTGACTCCTCTCCATGTAGCTTTTGAACACGGACTTGAAATTGTGACTCCTCTTCATGTAGCTCTTAGACTTACCATCTAAGTCTCCATCTCCACTATCTGCTCTGGGGCTCCAGCGACATCAAATCAGTATGCATAAGCCATATAATAATAGCTATCAATAACGTACATTACATAATGAAAAATATGAACCAGGAAATGTGTGTGTGTGTGTGTGTGTGTGTGTATTGTACCTGTTACCTGGACTTCTGTGCCAACATGCCAAGGCCACTTGGCCTCTCTCCAACACATTCCCCAAGCCATTTCCAGAGTGACCTTTCCAATAGAATATCTGATCATGTCACTCCCCTGATTAAACCATCAGTGTCTGCCCTTGCTCCTCTCTCCTGTCAAGTTCTAAATCCTCTTCATGGCCTGCCAGGTCTGGTAGGGGCTGGTCCTGACTATTTTTCAGTCTCATTGTTCCCTCAACAGGCCCCATCTTTCTTTTTAGAATTCAACTGTACTGGCTTCCTTTCAGCTTCCCTAGCTTTGCTCCATCTCAGGCCCTTGGAATGTGCTATTTTCTTCACCTCCCATCTCTTTCTGAAAGAGCTTTTTCTTTGAACAGCCTCTCTGACCCTCCCAGACTAGGTTATGGATCCCATAGCTGTCTGCACATTCCTTTCAGAGGATGCATCACAGTTGCAATTGATGAGCAAAGTTTCTGTCCATGTTGGTTCCTTCTGCTACACTGTGAGTTCTCAGAGAGTAAGCAGAATGCTTTTCTAGTTTGCTATCACAGTTTCTATGATTAGCATAGTAGGCACTTAATAATATATGAATAAGATTTTTTATCATCTAAGTCTGGCTGGGTTCTCTGCCACACATAACACAGAAGGGCCAGAAAGAGATATATGGGCCAAAGCCTGGACAGGCTAATAATCTGGAAAGAGTTGGAAGCTAGCAATTCTTATCATAACAGTTATGCCATAGTAAAAATCAACCCCCAAGTCTTAGTGGCATACAGCAGTAAGCTTTTATTTTCCCACTTGATGGCTTTGTAATATGTTAACTTGGCTAATTGAAACTACATTTCCCAGAATTCCCTTTTTGTATGCTCCTGGTTAAGATAGGCCCTAAAAGCAACTTGTGCAAGATTTGGAAGATGAAAGTGGAGCTGAAGCTGTGTGTATTTTTGGAAGGTCCCCGCAAGTCAGACTTTGCGGCAGCTCATGCACGTTTTCACAGACCTGCTGGCTTGATGCATGGACTCGGCCCAAAGCTCCAGTCCCTGGAGATCAGTTGCTTCCATTTCACAAGTCCTGGTAGAGGAGAGGGTGTGGCTCTACAGAAAGAATACCAGCTTCTGTTTAGAGCATACCCGGCAATGAGGGTGGAGTCTCAGAGATAGGAAAAGGCCTATATGGCTTTTGGTGATAGACAGATGCGTGTTCCAGATGGTTCTTTGTGGATTCCAGTTTTCCCAGCTCT